CCTCTAATTTTAAATGGAAAGAGCACAGACAAAGCCTTATTTTGTTTATATGAAGAGATTTATTTTATTTGTGTTATTTATTTGATTTGGGGCTTGTTTTAAATTTTCAATTTAGTTTTGTTATTTACATTTACATTATTTTTAAATTTTGTTATTTAGCAGACGCTTTTATCCAAAGCAACTTACAAATGAGGACAATATAGCAATCAAAACCAACAAAAGAGCAATAATATGCAAGTGCTATATTAGTATATTATTATAGTGTAATATTTCAATTTCACAAAGAAACGTGCAGCATTTTGTTCAAGCAATAATAAAAGAACACATTTTGTTTATAATTTGTCTTAAATCTCATTTTTTTTAAAAATAAAACATTTGTGAATCGAATCATGAAATCGAAATCAAAATCGTGAATCGAATCGTGAATTGAGTGAATCGTTACATGGCCATGGCCCAAACTTTCACTAGGCTGAGCTGGAAAGAGACTGATGGATTTGAGCAGACCGCTCAAAATGTTTGGATGGTGCCTGGGATGCTCAATGTTTACACTTTTGGGGAAGATAAACCCATGAATGGCATGCTGAAATTTTACAGTCCAAGATACAAATATTAAAGTCCAATTCAAACACATAATAAATACATTTAGAAATTTGATCTCAAAATCTGTCCCATCTGTCTAAAAGCAGTTAGATATATACTGTCTTGACTGGTTATATCAATATCATGCTCGAAAGTGAATACTGAATCCAAAAGCAGACTACTCTTAAAGCATTCATGAAATCAAGGACCTTGAAACTTACTTTGAGGTAAAAACAGAATAATATGCCTTTTTATCAGTCATCTCAGTTTTCACCCTTCTCTTTTTACCTATTCACATTCTGGACTGCAAACGTGTAGGCTAAGCATTAGAGCTATATTGACACTAAGCTTGATAAAAAAAAAAAGAAAGAAAAAAGAAACATTGCTGTGAGCATCTTGTGTGGCCACAAGCTGCTTTAAGTAATATAGTGCATCTCATCCTCAGGGACTGCACCAGATTTGCCATGTCTTGCTGTGAGATGTTTCCCTGCTCTTCCACCAAAGCATTTGCAAGTTCGCAAACACATCTGGGGGGACATATGGTTACATGTGATTTGCCACTGCAAGGACAATCACCTGTCCTTCCTGTCTCCCTGTAGCACTGTCTTAGGCATTTTACATTGTGGACACTGGTTTATTGCCCTGACAACGTTTACAGTCCTCATGCCTCCCTGCAGCAGGACTATGGCATGTTCATGCAGGTGCACGGGAATTAGGAACCCGGGGGCATCTTCTGGTGTTTTTCAGAATCACTAGAAAGGTCTCTTTAATGTCCTAAGTTATTGTAACTGTTCAAGTTTTCAAGTTCAGTTTTATTTTTCTAGAGCACGTTTAAGCATGGAACATGGCCGACCACAGTGCTGCAAAACAAACCGTAAAATACAATAAAGAGAAAAAAAAATCAGTACACAAATTAAATCCATACAAGAGCCACACTCTGCTTGCTACATAATAAAAGCCAAAGAGAAGAGATGGGTTTTAAGATATGACTTGAAGTCAGATAAAGTGAAAACCATCCTAATGTAAACTGGTAAGTTGTTCCAGAGGGTGGGACCAGCCACTTCAAAGGCTCTAGATCCCCTGGTCTTGAAGCGGGTTCTAGGGATCTGGAGGAGGAATTTGCTCTCCTGTGACCTTAATTGCCTGTAAACTTAAAAACTATTCCACAGGTGCATGTGCAATAATTGTTTGTGGTTCATTGAATAAGCATAAAATAGAGTTCAAACCCTTTGCAATAAAGATCTGGAAAGCTTATTTGGATACAAAAGTATCTTTAAAATACAGTAACCTGAAAAAGTGAAGATTCATTTTTGTCGGTTTCAGTAATTAAAAAATAAAATACCAATTCAAAACATTGAATTCCACATCTTTTAATATTGTATTACCTACCCAGGGGCACCTCATGTGACTTAAAGGGATAGTTCACTCAAAAATGGAAATTCTGTCATTAATTATTCACCCTCATGTTGTTCCAAACCCGTAAGACCTTCATTCATCTTCAGAACACAAATTTAGATATTTTTGATGAAATCTGAGAGCTTTCTGACCCTGCATAGACAGCAATGCAACTGAAACGTTCAAGGCCTAGAAAGGTAGTAAGGACATAGTTAAAATTAACATAACACATTAACATAAATAATCCATGTGACATCAGTGGTTCAGCTGTATTGTTATGAAGCTACAAGAATACTTTTTGTGCCCGATGTCAACGCCCGTTCACAAGAGTACCGGCGACGCATGCTGACGCATGAGCCGGCGTTCTGACGTAGAACCCGAATGTGCTGCACCTTGTTTTCAGTCAGAGGAATGCACACGTATGCACCGTGGTACTCTTGTGAATGCACATCAAAGACTGACACAGAAGAGAATAAATTGTTGATTTGTTTTGTTTTTCCCCACAAAAAGTATTTTCATAGCTTCATAAAATTATGGTTAAACCATTGATGTCACATGGACTATTTTAACAACGTCCTTACTACCTTTCTGGGCCTTGAACGTTTCAGTTGCGTTACAAAGCAGACTACTCTTAAAGCATTCATGAAATCAAGGACCTTGAAACTTACTTTGAGGTAAAAACAGAATAATATGCCTTTTTATCAGTCATCTCAGTTTTCACCCTTCTCTTTTTACCTATTCACATTCTGGACTGCAAACGTGTAGGCTAAGCATTAGAGCTATATTGACACTAAGCTTGATAAAAAAAAAAAGAAAGAAAAAAGAAACATTGCTGTGAGCATCTTGTGTGGCCACAAGCTGCTTTAAGTAATATAGTGCATCTCATCCTCAGGGACTGCACCAGATTTGCCATGTCTTGCTGTGAGATGTTTCCCTGCTCTTCCACCAAAGCATTTGCAAGTTCGCAAACACATCTGGGGGGACATATGGTTACATGTGATTTGCCACTGCAAGGACAATCACCTGTCCTTCCTGTCTCCCTGTAGCACTGTCTTAGGCATTTTACATTGTGGACACTGGTTTATTGCCCTGACAACGTTTACAGTCCTCATGCCTCCCTGCAGCAGGACTATGGCATGTTCATGCAGGTGCACGGGAATTAGGAACCCGGGGGCATCTTCTGGTGTTTTTCAGAATCACTAGAAAGGTCTCTTTAATGTCCTAAGTTATTGTAACTGTTCAAGTTTTCAAGTTCAGTTTTATTTTTCTAGAGCACGTTTAAGCATGGAACATGGCCGACCACAGTGCTGCAAAACAAACCGTAAAATACAATAAAGAGAAAAAAAAATCAGTACACAAATTAAATCCATACAAGAGCCACATTCTGCTTGCTACATAATAAAAGCCAAAGAGAAGAGATGGGTTTTAAGATATGACTTGAAGTCAGATAAAGTGAAAACCATCCTAATGTAAACTGGTAAGTTGTTCCAGAGGGTGGGACCAGCCACTTCAAAGGCTCTAGATCCCCTGGTCTTGAAGCGGGTTCTAGGGATCTGGAGGAGGAATTTGCTCTCCTGTGACCTTAATTGCCTGTAAACTTAAAAACTATTCCACAGGTGCATGTGCAATAATTGTTTGTGGTTCATTGAATAAGCATAAAATAGAGTTCAAACCCTTTGCAATAAAGATCTGGAAAGCTTATTTGGATACAAAAGTATCTTTAAAATACAGTAACCTGAAAAAGTGAAGATTCATTTTTGTCGGTTTCAGTAATTAAAAAATAAAATACCAATTCAAAACATTGAATTCCACATCTTTTAATATTGTATTACCTACCCAGGGGCACCTCATGTGACTTAAAGGGATAGTTCACTCAAAAATGGAAATTCTGTCATTAATTATTCACCCTCATGTTGTTCCAAACCCGTAAGACCTTCATTCATCTTCAGAACACAAATTTAGATATTTTTGATGAAATCTGAGAGCTTTCTGACCCTGCATAGACAGCAATGCAACTGAAACGTTCAAGGCCTAGAAAGGTAGTAAGGACATAGTTAAAATTAACATAACACATTAACATAAATAATCCATGTGACATCAGTGGTTCAGCTGTATTGTTATGAAGCTACAAGAATACTTTTTGTGCCCGATGTCAACGCCCGTTCACAAGAGTACCGGCGACGCATGCTGACGCATGAGCCGGCGTTCTGACGTAGAACCCGAATGTGCTGCACCTTGTTTTCAGTCAGAGGAATGCACACGTATGCACCGTGGTACTCTTGTGAATGCACATCAAAGACTGACACAGAAGAGAATAAATTGTTGATTTGTTTTGTTTTTCCCCACAAAAAGTATTTTCATAGCTTCATAAAATTATGGTTAAACCATTGATGTCACATGGACTATTTTAACAACGTCCTTACTACCTTTCTGGGCCTTGAACGTTTCAGTTGCGTTACTGGGTCAGAAAGCTCTCTTATTTCATCCAAAATATCTTAATTTGTGTTCCAAAGATGAACGAAGGTTTTTTGGGTTTGGCATGACATGAGGGTAATTAATGAAAGAATTTTCATTTTTGGGCGAACTATCCCTTTAACTAATGTGTGGGTGTGATTGTATTAGCATGAGAAGCAATGTATGCTTGTCCAGTTTCTTTGTGTAATTCTACCATTAAGTATGTTTATGTATGTCTATAGGGGATGGAGGACACAGAACAGCTCCAGGAGAAGCTGTTGGAGAAGCAGGATAGCCAGCAGTACCAGGCTCTAACCCAGATGGACAGAGAAGCAAAGAGTCCTCTTTCTGAAGATGAAGGTGTACAACTAGTCATCAAGGATGAAGATCAACCTGTGCTCCATAATACATATGAGCATGCAAATGGGAATGTGTTACCCTCACTTCCACAAGATTGTGCACCACTCAAATCAGAGGATTGTGACGTGTTTCCTGTTGCTACCATGCCGCTGCACCAAGGTCATCCTCTCCCCAACTCTCACACACCGGAGCAATGGCAGCATGGGATGCTGGAATACAAGGTGCCTCCGGGTGCCCTTGCAAATGTTGAACAGTCTAGGCCAAAAGAGGGCCAAAACCAGGTGGGAATGGTGCTGCCCACTCTAAAGCAGAAACCCCTCACATCTCCAGAAATCCAACCCGAAAGGGCTGACCCCCCTAAAAAAGAAGAAGCATGCTTCAGTTTTAATCTCCTCCTCTACCCTAGGGGTAATCCTGGCATCATGTCCCCATTAGCTAAGAAGAAGATGCTGTCCCAAGTCAGTGGAACAGGACTGTGTAATAATTACCCATACGGACCGCCACCTCCATTAGTCAGTAGGTTGACCGGCAGTGGTACAGAAGGGTCATCTTCTGGACAGCAGAGCTCCCAGGCTCCTTCCGCTGCAGAGACCAACATGGTGATCAAACGCCCATCAGTTATCCAGCATGCTCAAAGTTTAAAGTCCAGAGGTAGTGAGGACAGGAGGTCCTCAACAGAGGGCTCTCAGAAAGAGGGGTGTAATGAGGGAGAACTAATACCCCAGCCACAGCCTACCCTGATAAGAGAGCCATACCTTTTAAGGGCTGACCTCCATTCCAGCATGGAGAAATCTGCTGAGATGCCTCGTCCTGGCCAGGCTCCCAGCTTCCTGAGTGACTTTTATTCCTCACCTCACCTTCACAATCTAAGCCGACAAACCGAGCACCACCTGAGCAAGGAGCAGATAAGCAAGTACCTTAGCAGAGATGTTTACCCTCGGGACTGTGAGACCGCCCAGGGCTTTCCCCTAAGCCAGCATCCCGACAATGTGGGTTTGAATTACAGTGCCCGGCTAAGTCAGAAAGAAAAGGGACCTCCTGCAGAAAGGGTAACAGAGGAGCAACCAACTGATTTGAGTCTCCCAAAATCCTCTCCACACAAACTGCCTCTTTCCACATCCTCTCTCTGTGGCATCCCACATCCCACAATACAACAAGACATTAAAAACTCCTCTCTCTTTCAAGCAGGCAACAGTCAGAGCTCAAGCATAGACTACCATCCCAGGGCCTGTCGTGTTCCTCCCATGACCATGTCCAAATCTAAAAAGGTAACCGAATCTCACTCAAAGGTTCTGGATAAAGCACACAATGGCAGGGGAGAAGAGACCTTGGGTTACAAGATCGATGAGATGGCTCGGCCCATTCTGAGCTCCAAAAGCAGCCCGCAGAACATCTGCACTGCACGGCCACTAAAAAGGACCCTTCGGGATTTGGAAAACGCACCGTCGGAGAAGAAAATCCGGGCTGTGACACCCTTGCACTGCTCGACACAAAGAGATGGTCCAGGGAAACCTAGGACACCGGAAGCTGACAGTGAGTCCATAAAGCCGGCAGAACCTACTCACACGGCATACATCAGCAGTTACTCATCGGAAGGCCACAAGATTCCCTTGCACTCCCACCTGTTCCAAGGGCTGTATCCAGGGACATTTGTATCTCAGGTCCAGGACATGTGTGATAGCTTGGGCTCCCACGTTACCCCAAGTTACTCTCATCCACTGCAGTACTTGAAGAACCATGCTGTTCTGTCACCACTCATGCCCCCCTTCGCTATTCATTCCTTAATGATGCAAAGACAGTTCCTGGCCACCAATCCCACCCACATTTACAGGCACCAAGTGGGCACCTCATACGGGGACATACTGCACCCTGGCCTCTACCCCATGTCGGCCCTTCACCCCCAGCCAGCTTTCAGTCCCCCTCAACTCTCTTCAGTGCACCCCAGCACTAAACTTTCCTAGGTGGCGCAGTCTGATATTCCCTGGCTGGACGCGCCCAGCCCATGCTTAACTCAGACTTGATGCTCCCCAGAAAATCCCATCAAGCATGGTCACACTATGTACCCAGTGAATAGCAGTGTTTTATAAACGCTTTAACACGGGAGCAGTTATTTCTGTTATTTACCTTCTTGCCACTCAAGTTTATGGTTTGCACATTTCTTTGAACAGGGGCCAACTGGGCTGATCGTGGCTTGTACTCACCACACTGTTTGAAAGTGTCAGTTGGCTTGTTCGAAAACATGTTGCCTTGGCACAGGTGCCCAAGTGGAGATGGGCATGATGTCCACGGAGGCACCCAAAAGAAAGTCAAGTGACAAATCAGTGCAATGCGACAGTGCTACTTCGGTCCATTCTGAGAGCTCTTTTGTCTGAAATACTATGATACGATAATGCAAGAGCTGCCTGGGTAAATGTTGGACCTTTTCACATTACTCTTGACTGTATGTTTTTGTTGCTGTTGTTATTTTTTTTTTAATGTAACAGTGTGGTAGTTTTATATGTTTATTTTTCAATCCTACTAGGGTTAAGCAATGAGATATCACATTTGATAAAGACGCAAAAAAGAGACCCAAGTATTGCAGTTTGGTGTGTTACACAGTTACATGTAAATAAAACAAACTAAGCTTTCCTTGAAGGAATCTTAAATGTCAGTGATACAATGTGAGGTAGGCTTCACAAGCTTCTTTGACCACTGTCTGCTGGCTCCCTTTCAGCTCCTTTCACGCCCAGCAAAACTCGCTCCTGATCACCAGAGCAATGTGGAATGTGTTTGTCAAATGTAGGACTGAGGTGCTTGTACATAACCTTCACAAACTGAATGCATTTTGTATCATGTTCACTCGCTACTGTAATTTCTGATTGCTCTGAACTGCGGGGCTAAAGAGCGATTTAGGACGGTGAGAGGATAAAATGCAGGACTACTTAAGTGTCAGAAAGTGAGTTTTGTATTTGCTGGTGTACACTTGTGCTTGCTTACTCAGAGGACTTTTTTTATCAGGAGATACAACTGAAATTTAAAACTACATTTGGGAAAACACATTTTAGGAGCACTTAGATAAGCCCACACAGGCTTTTCCAACCATTTCTGTTTAAGGATAGCTAACTGTTAAACTTTTAGATATTGTTTGAACTTTAGGTCTGTAAGTGCTGGCAGCAGTCAAATTTGCGTCTGTATTAAATGAAGTGTAACACTTGCCAGAAAAGAGTTTTTAATTAAAAAAGCATGATTTGTTTGCACAAAAGATTTTGGGAAAGTACCAAGAAAATTTGAAAAGCAACACACAGTACTCTTAGGGGTAATCAATTATATATATTTTTTCTTTTTGATGTATTAGTAGTAGAAACTAAACTTCAAGAAATGTATTTACTCCAACAACGTTTGGAGTAACACTCAAGGTTGCTATGTAACATTTTGTAATGAGTAATAAACAGTTTTATAACTTAATACAACAGTTCATCTATGCATGTTTTCATAATATTTGCCAAGATACTGTTGACCCGAATATAAGACGATGTTTTTTTCTTGGAAATACATCTGAAAAAACGCGGTCGTCTTATATTCAGGGTCTAGACTTTGACATGTCAATAATACACCCACAACAATAGGTGGCGTTGTCAGCTGCACCACACAGATACGTTGTCTACAGGGTTTGAAATTAACACCCGCCAACCCGCCAAATGCGTGTAAAAATCAGCTGTGGCGGGTAACGCTGTCAAATCACTAGCCAATTTGGCGGGTTACATTTCGTAAGTTATGTTCACTCATTCATTTCTTGGGGAAGTTCATGCAAGCCAAACCTGCGCAGGTTTAGCACAAATACTGAACTCGTGAGACATCATGACATTATCGAGTATATTGCAAAAACTAAACAAAACACACCTACAGAGGCACGCATACGCGACGTGATGAAGTCTGGTTAGAGTAGACCA